CGTGGGCTTTAAGGTGGACGATTCCTGGCTCGCGGCGATGTTGCTGATGGGTCTTCCTGATCAGTACGAGCCCATGATAATGGGACTCGAAGCCTCTGGAGCGGCTTTGACAGCGGATGCAGTGAAATCCAAAATTCTACAGGACGTTAAGCTGGATCGTGGTCCGGTCAGCAGCGGCGCGGAAGGTGCCCTGTACAGTAAAGCGAACCGGAAGAAGCCAAGTGAATCCAAGGACGGTAGCAAAGGCGAAAAGTTATGTTACACCTGCAAGAAGCCGGGTCATTTTGCTGCCAAGTGTCCGGAGAAGCAGCAGCAAGCGAAGGCGAGCAAACACAAGGATCTCTGTTCCATTTTTGCCATGGGAGACGTCAGCACCAGTGAATGGTATTTCGATTCGGGTGCCACTTGCCACATGGCACGGCCGGATCAGAAATTTCTCGATCAAGTCAAGATGGACCACAACGTCGGAACGGCGAACAATGCCACTATGAAGGTCGTAGCGAAGGGTTCAGTCGTGTTGGACAGCAACGATGGTCGAATCGATGTCAGCGGTGTTCTGAAGATTCCCGACCTAGCCACCAACTTGTTATCCGTAAGTACGATCTGCAAAAAGGGCAAAACTGTTATTTTCACCAAAGACAGATGCGAAGTTCGGGACGAAGACGGTGATCTGGTTGTCACCGGCCTCTGCAGAGTCAATTGGCCAGAGAAGTCGTTTTTGGCAAGCGGCATGGAGCTCTGGCATCGACGTCTGGGGCATCTTCACGAAGGTGGTTTGAAGAAGCTCAAGCGAATCGCCAACGGAATAGATTTCCAAGATGGGTCGTTAGAAGGATGTGTTGCCTGTCTGGAGGGCAAGCATACGAGGCGTTCATTCCCAAGCAGCGAGTCAAGAGCTGAAGAACTGTTGGAGTTGGTACACTCCGACCTCTGCGGACCAGTGGAGATTTCGTCGTTGGGTGGAAGCCGTTATTTCATGACGTTCCTGGACGATGCAAGCAAGCGGGTGGTGGTTTACTTCTTGAAGCAGAAAAATCAAGCACTCGAAGCGTTCAAGTCGTTCAAGGCCAAAGCGGAAAGACAGACGGGCAAGAAGCTAAAAATCTTGCGTTCAGACAACGGAAAGGAGTACGTGAATGCAGATTTCCGGAAGGTGTTGGAGTCCGATGGGATTCGACATCAAACCACGTGCCAGTATACGCCTGAGCAGAACGGGGCGGCAGAACGCATGAACCGCACGCTGGTTGAAAAGGCGCGGTGCATGCTCAACTATGCGAAGCTGGGAAAAGAGTTTTGGGCAGAAGCTATTTTGACCGCGGCTCACGTGGTGAATCGATGTCCTACTCGTTCCCTGGAAGAGAAAACGCCGGAAGAGGCGTGGACCGGAAAGAAGCCGAATTTGAAGCACCTCAAGATTTTTGGCTCGAGCGTGATGACTCTGGTACCGAAAGCGAAAAGGAAGAAGTTTGATCCCAAATCTGAGAAAGGCATTTTCGTCGGCTATTGTGAAGACACGAAAGGTTACCGGGTGTATGATCCAGAGAATGACCGTTTCCACGTTAGCCGAGATGTCATGGTACTGGAAGAAGGCGTCGCTATCTGTATGGCAGAACAACGAGTGCAGCCGGTGGAGTTAATGGAGCTTTGTTCGGATGAAATCCATGATCGTCCTGAGTCCGGTGCAGCTGATACTCCTGAAGATGGTCAACACGCTGTGCTTCCTCTAGGCGAACAACCGAATGGCATCGTCGTACCTGGTGCAGCCGGGCCTGCTGTTGTTATCGATCAACCGGGTGGCAATCCTGGTGAAACCGAAACAACGGAGGAAGACATCGTCGTTGTCGACAGTTCGTCCAGTGAGGCAGACAAATTCGAGGATGCCTGTGCCGATTTTGCGCTCCCACCGCAACTGATTAGACCAGCTGAGTTGCAGCAAGGGTTAAGGCGCAGCGGTCGGGAGCGCCGTAATCCAGGCAAGTATAATGACTTTATTAGTTACGGTTCCTTTTCTGGTGGTGTTCATTACCCTCAGTTATCCTTCAACACGACGAGCGACGATGATACGATGGATGATCCGACGAGCTACGATGAGGTTCTGCGGCGGCCGGACCGAGATCATTGGATTGCGGCTATGCTTGAGGAAATTGCATCCCTCAGCGAGAATAGCACGTGGGTGCTCACCGATCTGCCTGAAGGGCGGAAAGCGATTCGGAACAAGTGGGTGTACCGAACGAAGCGAGGTCTCGACGGAACCATCCAGAGGTACAAGGCCCGCCTCGTGGTGAAGGGCTGCTCTCAACGACCTGGTCTGGACTACGACGAGGTGTACTCCCCGGTCGTGCGGTACGCGACCGTCCGGTATCTGATGGCACTGGCGGTGCGGTACAACTTGGATATTGACCAAATGGACGCGGTCACTGCATTCCTGCAGAGCGAGCTGAAGGACGAGGAGATCTACATGCTCCAGCCAGAAGGGTTCGATGCGTCGAATGGAAAGGTGTGCAGACTGAAGAAGGCCCTCTACGGTCTTAAGCAGTCCAGCCGCGTATGGAACGCGCAGTTGTTTGTGGTGCTGCAGGAGTTCGGACTGAAACGGTCGAGCGTGGATCCCTGTTTGTACTGGTGCATCCGTGGAGGAAAGATGATGTTTGTGACTATCTACGTCGACGATCTCTTGATTTTCACAAACGATCGGAAGCAAAAGAAGAAGCTGAAGGCCCATCTGCACAAGCGGTTCCAAATGAAAGACCTCGGGGAGGCGCAACAATGTCTTGGCATCAGAATCACGAGGAAGCGTGAAGAAGGCAAGCTGTGGTTGGATCAACAAGCCTACATCGAAGACATCGTCAATCGCTTCGGTATGGCCGATGCCCACCCAGTTGCAACACCAGCAGATCCAAGCATCAAGTTGGACAAGTCGATGGCACCGAAGACGAAATCTGAAATGGAAGAAATGAAGTCAGTGCCATACAAGGAAGCAGTCAGGTGTTTGTCGTTTGCAGCTCAAGTCACCCGACCGGATATTGCTTTTGCCGTTAACGTTGTGAGCCAGTACAGTGCCAACCCTGGCCGTCCTCACTGGGAAGCGGTGAAGAGGATAATCCGGTACCTGAAAGGTACAATAACCAAGAAGCTAGAGTACTCGACAAGCGGTCCAGCGGACATAGTTGGGTACAGCGATGCCGATTGGGGAGGAGATGCGGACGACCGGAAATCCACAACCGGTTATGTGTTCATGATGCAGGGAGGTGCGATCTCGTGGAACGTCAAGAAGCAGCCTACCGTAGCCCTTTCGTCCTGTGAAGCGGAATACATGGCCATGTCTCGCACGATCCAGGAAGCTATGTGGTGGAGTAATCTGCAGTCGCAGTTTTGCGAGGCCAAACCGATTTCCGTGTGCTGCGATAATCAATCGGCAATCAGCATCGCCAACAACGGTTCGTATAACCCCCGGACCAAGCACGTCAGTATACGGTACCATTTCATGCATGATAGCCTGCAGCATGGTGTCGTCCAACTGAGCTACAGGTCGACAACGGAACAGCCAGCCGATGGGTTCACGAAGCCGATGACCGTTCAGAAGCAGCAGAAGTTTCGGAAGCTAACTGGCGTCGCGGATTAGGGAGGAGTATTGTGATCGTAGCAACCTAGTAATTCGCGTCGCTATATGCACTTGTTATTAGTTGCTAAGATTCTGAATAAATTTTTCATTCAACTGTTCAACGTCAACCGATAAAGACGTGTTTCAATTACTCTCTACAATTAATTCATATTTAATTATTTATATATTTCTCTCGTGCCTACAATTATGACAGTTCATTTGGCTCAAAACATTCTCTCCGCCCATCTCTCCCTCTGAGTATTTCTAGTACACGGACAGAAAATTGTTTGCATTGAACCAAAAAAAACTTTATTTGTATTTACACAAACAATTCCGGTTGAAATTATATTGCATTTTATTGTTTCGATAATATTTATTCAAATAAATTCAAAATAAGATTCTTTTTGTTTTCATAAGCCACTCTTCAACTACAACTATTGTAAAAATAACAATATTCTATTATCAAGCCAGCAATAGTTAATTTTAATTTAACATTTATTTGTTGTGTCAATTCCCCGGGCCATAAATGCAAAAATAATTACCAACCATTCCCTCGTGAAAACCCAGACAAAAATGTTAACAATAACAAAAAATTTCTCGTTTCATTCAGCTCTAGAGGCAAGTAAGTATGCTGCTGTTGCAAAATATAAACAGTTTTTCTATTTTTCCTTGATTTTTTCCGTCAATCTTATTTTCAGTACTGAGTACCAATGCTCCCAACGCCAGGAAGGCCGCTCCCACACCTGGACCCTACCTATCGACCCATCAACTCATGAACCGGAGAGATTTTATGCCTCAGAAAGTTTTTTTTTTTAATTTCATTGTAATTCTGTTGGTAACAAATAGAAAACAAAACCTAAAAATAATCGCAAATTATTAAAAATTGAATCAATAAACATATTTTTATTTCTACTGCGTATATTTTCAGGCTTAATAAAATAAATATGATTGAATCAACAAGAAATCTCTTTTAAAAACAAACATATTTTTTGTTGACCCAGCTGCCAAATTTGACAGCTTACGTCAAAACCATAAAAGCTCTTGTAAATTCGAAAAGATTTTCTTTTTGATTTAACAATCCATGGGTTTTTTAATCAAAGATACTGGATTGTTGAAATAATAATGATTTCATTTTGCAGCCAAAACAAAATGAAATTCTTATTAAATTTACGTCAAATATTATTAGGTTTAAATTATTTTTTTCTGCGTGTACGGAGAGTTGCGATTTAGCGTAACTTTTATAATATTTAGATTTCAATATTTTTTGAGTGTACTTCAAAACTTGTTGGAAATCCCTTGCCGATCAACGGAGCACGTTCACGACTTTCAACAATTGACAGTCTCGTAAAAGTTAAAAGCCTCTCCAAAAGCTTATAAACAAAGTGTGAATGGTGTGAATATTCTTCATTTTATTTTGTGTTCTAGCTTGTTTAATAAACAATTAATAGTATGCTAACGAATAATAATATAGTTTACCCCATCAGGAATCCTTCAACCATGGATAACTTGTAATTAGGTGTGGAAAATATCGGAAGGAATTAGCAGCCCGTACTGTGAAGAAACTTCATCTGTTGGCTTCTTTCTGCATCTTTTGGGGTCAAGAAAATGTCATCCAACTCCAAGGTAATTGTTATTATAATATTTAATGCTTATCTTTAATGCCACTACTAAATTTATGCAATAATCTAGGAGTTCCCCTACGAGTTATTTCGCCAAATGCATAATGATCTCCAAACACAGATGATGAAAATAACTCAATTATCACAAGCGGAAGCTGCGGCATCTAGCGTGGTGAACGCTAACCCAACCACCCCGCCTCGACAAAATCCGTCAATGTATGCTAATTCTTATGCAGGTAAACCTGCCAGTTCCTTTACCGCTGTTCCGCAGCAGCCAGCTAGACAGCAAGTGACGGAAAAGAAAACATTCGAGCAAGCTTATCGCGAAGCAATAGAGCGCCTCAATGCAGCTGCCGGCAATAGAACCAATTCTCAACAACAAACACTACCACAACAACAACGTTCGCGTGTGCAGTACAGTAAAAGTTGCCCTCGCCAACCATCTCCTCCTAGAAGTGTGATCAATTCCAATCGTTTTACTGTGGAACCGTCAGTCTCCGTTTATGCTCCGTCGACGCCAGGATCGTCTGATGTAAGAATAGTTTTTATGGATTTGGAATACGATCACATTTATTTTGTCTTACAGAGTCAATATAAAACAACCATCTACAATATCAACACGATAAATTTAGCAGGATTGGTTAAAAGTCAGCAGAATACGAACGATGGCCGAAGTGCAGTTGGTCGATCTGCCGTATCGACCTCCGTGGGGTCTACTCCAAGTGCGCCCCAATCTCAATCAGTTGAGCGTATTATGGACGAAAGCCACAGGTATAGAGAAACTTTTGCAAATGCCTACGCGAGACATTTACTAGAAATGACCAGAACTGCTGTACAGAAGGTAAATTCGAGATTTTTTTTTGCTTGAATTTAAATTTAACAAAATTATATCGATTAATAGAAAACTGCTCAACCACAGAAACCAGCACAAGGTGGCCAGTACTCATCAAGCGCTAACCAGTCACCAATATCGTCTCAAATAGAGCCAGGCAGTGGACATCTGGCAAAGCCGCTTCCTGAAGCAGATTTGCCATCAAAAAAGCCCAGAAAGTCGCCAGCGGCTAATCCTTTGATCCTGAACGGAAAGGATGGTGCAGCATTGACCTTTGCCGAGATGCTTTCCAATAGTGAGCGAAAGCCGAATGGAAATGTTCTGGTAAGTTGTGCTGATTAAGTACAGGTTTTTGGCTGTTCTCGCAATATTTATACCAATCTTTACTGTGCTATTATGATGATCACTAAATAGACACATTAAAAAGTAGGATCACGTTTGTTATTACCGGAGACAACATATCAAGAAGCGACGGATACAGTAGCGCTGCACCATATCAAATTTTGATGCGTTTCTAATGATGACGCTCTATCTGTCGCTTCTTGATATGTTGTCTTCGGTATTGCCAAAGACAACACATCAAGAAGACTGGCAACTTTGCCAGAATCCAAGCGACATATACAGTAGCGCTGCACTTGAGCGAAGGTGGAAGCAACACATAGAAAAAGGAGCAAATACACATACCTTTCTTCTGAATGTGTTATCTTTGCTATCAAATTCGTTCGAAACATTTACCTTTGAGCGGCAGATGACGTAATTGTACCTGTTTCATAACGGTCGTCTTTGGTATTACTCTAATAAAAGGTTTGAATATTTGCTGATGTCGGTATAAATAGGGAACACCGGGGCTGGTAAATGTAAATGGCAGCATTGTCGTTTTGGTTTTTGCTGTATAGTACACCAAAAATGTAAGCGCCAACAAGTGCGATACATTGACAACTCAACATCATTTCAGGCATAACATTTGATAACGGCACAAAAGCATTTGTAAACAAACTTTCTAAGGCCCTTTACACGCGAACCAAAGTACGCCCACGCAAACCAATACCACTTGCGGAAAGGCGATAGTTATGATAGTTAAATGATATCCGATGATGTTGTTGGTTTGCGTGGGCTTACTTTGGTTCGCGTGTAAAGGGCCTTAGAAAGTTTGTTTACAAATGCTTTTGTGCCGTTATCAAATGTTATTTAAGTAAAGTAAGGATTGTTGTGACTCCAAAATGTTTACTAGTTTGACTCTGAAACAAAGCTTCAGTTGCAGTTCGATGAACGATGTCTCCTTTAAAAATGTTACACATTTTTGTTAATCTATCACGGAGTTGGTACAAACTTGCACACAAGTTCACATTTGAATGTTGGACGCAAGTTTAAAGATATGAAATGAACATCACAGAAATCATCAGAGGGAGGGATGAGGAGAGATTGCTTTTGACGTCGGGATAGACTGGTTGTCCTTCGGGCCCGGGATGCAATGAATAAAGAAAGAGATAGTAATGAATTGCAAATATACCACAGATGATTAATAAACAACGGAATTAGGGCCAGTGAAATTTGAGTCCTTCCATATTTTGGAACAACTGTTTGGACATTCAAAGTGTTTTTATGTTACTTCATACGCGAAATTAGCGATTTTCAGAGTTGGTTGGAAATGCTAACATGAAGCTTTAGTGTGATAATTTATTAGCTAGAGAATGATCTTTAGAAGAGGGTAGGTGTATAGTTCCGTTAGAGTACGGCAGTATGAAAGTTGAATAGAAGTTGAAAATGAGCGGCGACAGTTTTTAAAAGTCAGGCGCACATCTTTTGCCTAACCCGTACGATGTACGCGGAGACTTGAAGTATGTCTTCAAGTCTACAGGTAAAAGATGTGCGTCCTCCTTTTGCTCATAACTGACTGCGGCTGTGGAATAGTTCTAGCGACGTTTCATCACTACCTAAAGCCCCACGTTTACGAGAGCATTTCCAGTTGATGGTGTGCTATAATGCAATTCTTCTTTACCCAACTATTGTGTTGCTCCTCTCGTCATGACCAACGTGGTCATCTCAGAGAGAAAGCAGTAGGGTGGTTGCCAGTCTTCTTGATATGTTGTCTTCGATCAAAGTAAAAAGTACTTGAAACACGTTAAATTTTTGATTACAAGCACAAGTGTAGATAGTTAATAAAGCATGGGTTATGATTGATTTGGTAGATTAGAGATTTCAATTATTTATTAAATTAGGCTAATGAGATACCTATCATAATCATTTGAACTTAAATAAGAAAATTCAGACAGTCTAATGACATTAAATAGATTAACAAAAGAGTTAGGATGCAGGGAATTGTAGAATAAATCTGCCTATTTAGCGCAATAAGAAAACGCAAGCAGACCAAAAGCATTAAGCAGATTAACAAGGAGAGGAATACTTTAATAAATAAGTAAAATTAGAGGTATGTGACAATTAATAACTTAATCTTTTGTAGATATTGTTTTCCCCTGAGTTTATTGTACTCGATTACTATATTATTCTCTCGGTACATATGCGGTTAAAGCATTTGAGTTAACTTATTTATTTTTGTTCAAGTACTTATATTTCAGGCGTAACATTTGATAACGGCACAAAAGCATTTGTTAACAAACTTTCTAAGGCCCTTTACATGCTAACCAAAGTACGCCCACACAAACCAATACCACTTTCGGAAAGGTGAGAGTTGCCTCTATCGGTTCGCGTGTTAAGGGCCTTAAAAAGTTTGTTTACAAAACGGCTCACGACGAGCAACTCAATCCGATCAGCGGTTGCGGGCAGCCTTGATGGCTAGCTTTTTGGGGGGAGCCTTTTGTTGTATAGTGGAGAACACCACCACTCACCACACGCGGTGAGACCGGATGGAATTCAATTTTGAAATCTGTGTTAGGGAAAGCACTTTTCGCAAGCAATCGGTGACCATTTTAATTATGATAGCAACAGTTGCACATTCGTACAATTTTCAATAGTGACATTTTGAAAAATGACAAATCGTTAATTTTAACAGGTTCGTAGAAAAATTTCCTATCGATTTGCGTATTTAGAATTAAAACCCATCATTTCTGGATCAAAATCAGACCACTTTCATGCCGGGACCGACATTGGATTCTGAAACACTGCCAATGTTGCCTTAAAAATATATGGTATGTTAGATTTTAAAATATGGGAACTGACATCCGATTGATGACCTTGACAAATGTATATATGTATGTATGTACGAAACCATTATCCTAGCTTGGGTCTTGCCCTGCATGCGGTTCCACTCAACAGCAAGATCAATTTTCGTAATCATTATGAATTCAACATACTGCTGTATGAAGGGCCAAAAGGGTTGGGCGGGCCCGTAAGCAGAGACACCGCGGGAATAAGAGAATCTCCTTCCAACAATATGATTCAGCAAAATGAACTACGAAATTTTTCAATACATATTATGCTTTCCACGGGATGGTTTGTTTGAGAAGAGCGCGTCAAATTCATTGCAACTGTTGGAGTAAAATGGCAGTACATATTTCCTCCTGGACTCCGGCTGGCACTCCACTCCATTGTCCAGTTACAACTTTAATGATAAAAGTTAAAAATGTAATGTGTATAAAATATATACTGAAATACAATACATGATAATAAATAAGTATGACAAATTAAAAACAACTCAGATTTTAGTCTTGACAAATGTCCAAAAAATACTCTTTATCAAATTTATGGTGGTCCTGAAAAGGACCGTTTTGTCATGATGGTTGAGTAATGCTGAGCTATTAGGGTGTTCAACATGGATGAGGCTGGCGAGCTGTAAGTTGTTTTGAACGAGGGTAACGCGCTTGGCATAGATGGGCCACAGCGATTAACGAAGATGGATCCAGATCAGTAGTAGCGGTGAGGCTTCTTCCTCCTTCTTCGATGAATGGACGCTCATGTGCGCTGCAGTTCGCTGCTTGCGGGCAACCTTTCGTTGTGTACAATGTTCAACGCTACGCGCCGATGCTGCTGCTGCTGCTGCTGACGACCGACCAAACACCACCACACACGGTGATTGAATAAGCACCGTTCAGGGAGACAGGATCCAATTAGATTTTGAAATCTGTGTTAGGGAATGCGCTGTTTGCAGGCAATCGGGGATAATTTTGATCATTATTGCAACAGTTGGATATGTGTGTAATTTTCAGTAGTGACCTATTGAAAATGAATAAAGTGTTCAATTAAGCAGATTTGTAATCGATTGGCTTGTTTAGAATTAAAATCCATCCACTATTGACAGGGTTATATGTGGTCAAAACCTGACCACTTTTCGTAATGCGGTTAATTTTGGTTTTTTGAAATTGCTCCCCAAATATGTGCCAAAAGACGTACTGCCGTTATACGCATAAATGTCCCATGTTCTATGCAATCATTATGCACCGTGGCTTAAGCTTATAACGACCGCGTAATCCTACGTAAAAAAAATTACCAGCCCGCAGTGAATCATAAAATAATGCCCTCTATTTTTTACTTTCAGCTAACAATTGACCGAAAAGCAACGCCCGGAACCAACAATCCAAACTTACCGTCGCTTGATGCTATGATGGCAGCACACTCGAGCAAATCGAAACACGCTTCTTCGTCATCACTAGAGAAAAAACCAATAGAGTCGCGTTTGAAGCCATCCAGCATTAAGATAAACCACGATGAGTTCTATCGACAAATTCAAAACAAAATAGTACAACACACGCAAAAACTCTCGACCCCGTCGAGCCTGCCAGCACAGCAACGGGTCGTTAGTGGTGCTACATCTAAAGTTGTACCACCAAGACAGCAAACGGTGATCGTTTCTACCAGGTCAGTTCCGGTGCCCAACATTGGGAATCGACCAGATTTGACTGTAATTGTAAATAAACCTAAAATATCTTCACCTGCCCCCTCTCATGTATACGGGAAACCTACAATATCGACTTCAAGCTCCACGTCATCCACTGGTCAAAGTGTATCACCATCAACAAGTCATTCATATTCAATGGGTTTATGTACGCCTAAGCGAAATCAAGACTCCGCGATTGCTAGTTTAGTCGAACCGCCCCCAGCTCATTCAACTACTCCAAAATCTTCATTCGTATCACCGCAAACTTCCATCCCAGTTAAACCCTTGACTCCCAGTCCTTTACCGGTTAAAGAAACTATGAACTATGGCGCAAAAAATCTCAACAGTATTACACCGAAATTCAGTAAGCCAGCTTCAGTTACTGCAGCCGATGGAGTCCTAAATTTGGATACAAAAATACCAACTCCACCGTCATCTGCATCTCAAAACAACACACCGAATATTGGATTCGATGACTACAGTTTACAGTCCTCGACACAATACCGTACTACTGGCAATCGGTCATCCATTCTGTTCAACAGCTCACAAAAGGTGGTCAAAATTGAAAAACGTGTCAATTACGATGCTTATGCTAATGCTAAAGCTAGCAATTCGGATAGTGGGACATCTAAATACCAGCACAATGTGGTCTGGAAAGAGCAACCGTCGATTAAGTCCGAAGAACATCTCAACGGATCCGGAAAGATTTTCGAACAAAAGAAAACTTTACGTAAGTTGGTTGAATTATGAATGGCAAGATCAATGCTGCTAAAATTGGTTGTTATAATGTTTCTATTCAAATTTATAACTGTATTGATCGGCCTTATTGGCATGTTTTGTTTTCTAACTTGTATCACTTCCATAGTGGAACTATTGCAAATTGCCAACATGCAACAGGTGTCATCTAATCCACAAGGTCAGACAAAGGGTGTATCATTCGTAGGTAGGATTGCTGCAACAGCTGGCAACGTAACAACAGCGGGAGCCTTGCAAACGAATCACATGAATCAGACCAGTAAGTTGTCTACCTACATACTCATAAAACAGGTCTTTGCTTTTTTAAATTTGAAGAACCACGCCTAGTGAAATTCCGTAATGTTGTTTTCAATATACTACCGGTGGACTATTCCATTTGTATATGAAATTTCATAAATATAACATGGGACAATTATGTGTCCACCGGTATACATATTGATAAAATTAATAATAATCGCAGTATGCAATGAATTTAATTTGAATGTCACTCTGTATTTTGCGGTCAAACACTGTTGCATGTTTTATCTTTTAATATTTTTTTTAGACCAAGATCTTTTCAAATATCGAATGACCAGTAAAAGTTCATCCAAAGAGAAACACAGGAAGGTAAAGCATTTCTCCCCTTAACGACCACTAAGCTGGGCAAGAATTCTCAAATTTCTGCTCTGTTTTTAGCTTATTGACCCGTTGGCTATTAAACCGGATCCTGACAGGCCTCCGGTGAAACGTAAGGACCCAGCTAAGCGACTCGACTTAGTCAGACGGAAGAAACCGAAGCTGGCCCGTTCTACAGATCCCTATCTGCAACATGGACCGTGCTATGAGGTAGCTCCCCGATTATCGCGTTGTAGAGAGTGTGGACGCTCTGCTGCAGCACGATCGAGGGATGCGGCTAACATATTTTGCCGTTTCATTGCCTTCCGAAAACTGAAGTAAAGATCATCTATGAAGGTTTGTATGCCACCAGTGCTAATGTGTTTTTTCCTCTTTCTCTCTTTACAGGTACAATGATCATGGACAGATGGAAGTAGCTGGTTTCGCTGACCCGAATCTAGATGCTCAGAAGGCTGATACCAGCTTATGGGATGCCAATTTAACCAAGGTGCCCATTGACTTGTCCGTAGAAAAGTCTAAGTTCTTGCTCGGACAAGTCGGATACAAATTCTGTGAACTATTTCATCAGGAGAAGGAAGCTTACTTTGAGCATATGTCAGAAGGTAATAGTTGTGATTTTTAATAAGCCTGTACATATTACATAATGTGAAATGGTTTTGGCTTAAGTCAGTGCTGTCTACTGAGATCGGTTGCCTCAGAAGTGGGACCTAGTCCTAACAAAGAGTTAATTCACCAGGATTTCGTTTACAATTCTATTTACGTACCTCCTTTACTATCTTTATACAATACGTTTCTATCATGTTTTTTTTAAATTCATTTACTTATCAATCTCAATTGTGGAAGCTTTTCGGAGCCATTATTATTCATTATGATTTTTACAATGTTTCTTAACCCGAGCAAAGTCTGAGATCAAATTGAAATCTAAATTTGATGTTGTGATCTCGCTGATAATGATTGCTCAGGTTGCTGTCGTTTTGGTCGTTTTAACGGTTAATGTATGTGTGTGTGTCATCCTCTATCCCTCACCCAGCCGGGGGCGTTGGACAAGTAGAACTGCGAATAATTTGATCAAATCTCATGCTCCGTAATGGTGCCCTTTATGTTGTGAAGACTAGTACTTCAAAAAGGGTAACTTTTGAGGCAAGACAGGGTGTCCTCAACAAGTTAAGGGAACAGGATGCACTAGATGTCCACAACAGGTACAGCAAAACATCACATAGACGCCCTTATTCACACTAACTACTCAGGGGATAGAAGGTCAAGAAGAGCCACCGCCGCTAAATAAAGCTTGAACCGGGTACCTGGGACTCCCACGATATACCCGCGGCAATGGTCAGCGGACGATGCCCTGTGCGTATTTAGTATGTAATATGTTTTATTTGGATACACAAAATGTGTGAAGCCATGCGTCATCTAAACCATAATTTGCATTACAACAAATACACTTGTCAACAATCTTCAACTGGAACGTACTCACCAAATCACTTCACCCGGGAGCGCATTCCCGATGATTGCACGCATATTTTTCTCTCCACTCCAACCACACAGCAACCAAATATCTCTTTTCTTCACTTTTCTTTTTCAAGACACTTGGTCGTTTTAACGGTTAATATATCAAAATTGAGAGCAAAATCTTCCTGTGACATAAAATTGAAAACTATTTCTGCTATCAGTGAGAGCAAACTGAAAACTCAATTTGATATCAATTTTTCATGTTGATAACAAAACAAGTATTCAATTTGATGTTATGCTAAGGCAATGAAAACAAACCCGCAACAACATATTTATGAAGAGCAAATGTACAGCAAAATGAAAACAAAATTTGTCAATTGCGTAAACTGAAATCAAATTAAGATTTCAGTTTGATGTTGATGTCAAAACTTGATTTCAATTTGCTGTCATTTTGATGTTGGACTTTGCTCGGGATATTTTTGAAAAAGAAATGTACAGCAAAATTAAATCAAAACTTGTTATCAAATTTGTCAATTGCGTAAACTGAAATCAAATTATGGTTTCAGTTTGATGTTGATATCAAAATTTGATTTCTATTTGCTTTCATTTTGATGCTAGTCTTTGCTCAGGTAAAGTTAGTAGAAAAAGGGGGCCGAATACTCGCGGCTTACTCAGGTTACGGCTACGGGATTCAATTTAATAACAAGGAGAGGATAAAGAAAAAGGTACACAAGGATGCAATTGATATGTTTATCTACATCTCCGTTTTATTGCTGATACGACGATTGACCCAATTGGGAGACTACTGCAGTGACGGGTAAAATAGTTCTGCACAGAAATTCAAAACAACCCAAAATTAAGTTCTTTTCACTCATCTCCCATGTTCCGTACGATAAGCCAAATTTGGGTAAACCGGCTCAAAGTAGTTTGCATTTAAGCACGGCAAAAAAAATTACCCATCGCTAAGTTATTTTCAATTTTTTCTACCCAAAATTAAGTTCAATTAACTCAAATTTGGGTATATCGCATATTACTCAATTTTGGCTTCTCGTAGGGAACTAGACGGTTGAGTCGAATCTTTCGTTCTATTTTTGACAACAATAGCGAGAGAAAATGAAACGGGCAGAGGTCAAATAACTCAAATTTGAGTTCAAAAAACCCAAGCGGTGGGTAGTTTTGTTTTTCTGTGTGGATCTCTCTTGAGAAGACTTATGATTGGTTGCCAAAATTCAACGATACACAAAAAGTAGCTAGACACAAGACAGGACAGACACTTCGATTGCTACAGGAGCAGTTCCACGCCTACTGACGAATCGATTTTATTTTTCCCTCTCCGAATTCCATGAAACTTCGCATAATTGTTCTCTAAAAGCAATGAACCAAGTTTGTGCTGGAATTCGGTCTTTTTACTCACGCCTTAATTCTCAAAATGCCATATTCGATATTTTTCAATAAATCATAGCATGAAAACGACTCATCTAATCGAAATGACGCCTGAGTCAAAGTTGTACGAAACTGGATTGCTTGTTCAGAAAAAAGGAGGGAATATCACCACTAGTTCCTGATATCTCCAAGATAATTTGAGGGTTTTCCTAGGCTATTGCACGATATTCCTAGGTCCACCTAACGAAATGACTTCCCACGCTAACATAAACTGGAAAAACGTCCGGGAAGAAGGAGTGACAGTTCTTTAAAAAAGATCGCTTGAGTTTTCTACCTGGTGTTTGCAGCTTTCTACCCCAATGGGTCTGGGTTCAATCCCAGCCGAGGTCGGTGGGATTTTTCTGAGGCATAAAAATCGACCGTCCGTCTCACCTCTAATGGCTCGATTCCCAGGAGACGGCAACGCTCCTCGTACGGTGGCAAGTTCGTTGGGTCACGCCAGTTGAGGAAACGAAGAGCATATCTCACAAACTTGCGTTGAACGGATTCAATTCTAGTGATCCAGCTAGCATGGAAAGGGCACCAAACAACTGAACTTGACTCCAATAAGGATCGCACAAGCGAGCAGTAAAGTGACCTGAGACATAGCGGGTCACGAAACTCGTCGGCAATTTTGAAAATAAAGCCCAATTGTCGATTAGCTCTGGATATGATGTCATTGTAGTGGATTCTGAAAGTGAGTCTGCAGTCCAAGGTAACGCCGAGATCCTTTATGTGCTCTACACGAGCAAGACAGCGTCCGTAGAGAACATAGTCAAACATGATTGGTTCAATTTTTCGGTGATATGAAATAATGTTACATTTTTCTATGCTTAGACTCATCAAATTTCTTGAGCACCAGTCAGCAAAATTAATGTTGAGAGAAGCCTGGATTTTCCATTCGCGGCCGGTAACTTAGATAAATCTACAGCTGTTCTTAATAACGCTTTGAAAACGTATACCAATCAACTAGTTGAGCAAAAGTTTGTTTCTTTGAAGAACAGCTGGTACAATTTGGATCTTTTGCATCTTAAACGGAAAAGGAATAAATGGTACAAAAAGTTTTGTAGATCTAATAATGACAATCATTGGACTAGGTACACAATCGCGCGTAATAAGTATTCACAATCGATAAAGAAAACTCGTTGTGAATATGTTCAAAGGAAGATTGATCAGCATCAAAACAACAGCAAAGAGTTATGGAAAATTTTGAAATCTTTATTAAACCCTAGTAATTGCAAACCGCGGTCCATAACTTTTAATGGCACATTAGAACAGTCAGAACAAGTAATTGCAGCTAAGTTTAATGATTATTTCGTAGACAGTGTTTCATTGATTAATCAATCCATTGAATTGGTCGATGAACCTGACGAAATAAAACAGCCAGTTAATAGTAGTTGTAGATTTGAAGTTTTTCACCCAATTACATTAGATGAACTTAGAGTAATTTGTTTTTCATTAGGAAAATCGGCTGGAGTAGATAATGTTAATGCTAGAGTTATTCAAGATTGCTTTCATGTCATTGGCCACATCTTTCTGGACCTTATTAATAAATCATTGCATAATGGACATGTGCCACAAATTTCGAAGGAATCATTAGTGGTTCCTATTCAAAAAGTTGCTGGAACGATTAAAGCCGAAGAGTTTCGTCCCATCAACATGTTGCACACATTAGAGAAAATTTTAGAACTTGTTGTTAAAGGCCAGCTGTTGGAGTATTTGAATAGCAACTCTTTGTTGATACCAGAACAATCGGGATATCGGGAAGGTCATTCTTGTGAAACTGCATTGAATTTGGTGTTAGCAAAGTGGAAAGACAACTTGGAACGTAAAGATACGATTGTTGCTGTGTTTTTGGATCTGGAACGCGGTTTTGAAACAATTTCTAGGCCCTTACTGTTAAGTACAATCAAGCGCTTTGGAATTACGAGTACTGCATATAAATGGTTTGAAAGCTATTTGTCTGACAGAACTGAACGGACTATTTTTAATGATTCTGTTTCCAGTCCCGTGGGGAACAACCTTGGAGTGCCCCAGGGAAGTGTATTAGGGCCCCTGTTATTTATTATGTATATTAATGACTTGCGACGTGTTTTACGGTTTTGCGACATTAATCTTTTTGCAGATGATACTGTGTTATTCATTGCAGCTAAGGATTTAGAAGTTGTCGTCTCACACTTGAATGAAGATTTGCAGTATCTAAGTAGATGGTTGAAGTGTAAGCAGTTAAAATTGAATACAAGTAAAACTAAATTTATGGTAATTTCGCGGAATCGATTAAATGAGAACGTCTTTGTTGTAATTGATGATGAGACGATTGCGTTCAGGAGATTAAATATCTTGGCGTGATTATTGATGACAAACTTAAGTTCAACTCTCACATTGACAATGTCATCAAGAAAATTGCCAAGAAGTATGGAATTCTATGTCGATTGAAAAACGATTTAACTATTGCCAGTAAAATACAGCTATACAAATCAATCATCTCTCCTCATCTAGACTTTTGCCCATCCATTTTATTTCTGTCCAATGAAACACAAATATCGAGATTACAGCGCTTGCAGAATAAAATAATGCGTTTGATTTTGAAATGTAATAGATTCACTTCCTCAACTTTGATGCTAGACGCCTTATAATGGTTGTCGGTGAAGCAAAGAATTGTTTATTTGACTATGGTGTTCATTTTTAAAGTTGAACGGTTTACTGCCTCGATATTTGTGCGATCGAATTGAAAGAGGAAGTGACTATCATAGATATAATACTAGACACGCGGATGAAATAAGAACACCACATTTCTTGACTTGTGCTTCACAGAATTCATTATTTTTTAAAGGAATAAATGTTTTCAATTCGATGCCTAGACACATTGAACGTGCAACAACATTAGCAGAATT